TAAAAGGTGAACGTCCATATCCTAACTATAGATTCCGCTGCGTTAGGATTTATTTCGATAAAGTTCAATACTGTGCATGTTGTTTGACGTTCCTAACAGAACCCAACAAGAATATCATCAATGAATACGATAACAAACTAATCAAGAAAAGGATGGAATACACGGTTCATCAAGTCCATGAATACTGCCGGGGCATTGCTGAGGCCGAACGACATAACCACGAACTCAAAGTGACCGTATCTCGTACGAAATGCTGTCTTGGGTATGTCTGACTCCTTGATTTTCAGCTGATGGTAGCCTGAACGGAAATCAATTTTGGAAAACACACAGGGGCCCCTCAACTGACAAATAAATCATCAATCCTGGGAAACAGATATTTATTCTTGATCGTCAACTGGTTAAGATCCCGGTAGTCGATACACATACGCATGGATCCGTCCTTCTTCTTGACAAAAAGAACGGGTTCTCCCCAAGGTGAGATGCTCGGTCGAATAAAACTGAGATTCAGCAACTCTTGAATTTGGGTCTTTAATTCCTGCAATTCTTTAGGTGCCATTCTGTATGGCGCCTTAGAAATGGGTCCGGCTCCAGGGATAAGATCGATAGAAAATTCCACCTGTCGGCTAGGTGGACCACCGGGAAGCTGGTCTGGAATTACGTCCACAAACTCACGAACAATAGGAATGTCGTGAGGTGACCGTACCTTTGGCTCATCTCCGACGAGGCTCACAAGGTATCCTTGGCAATCACCCAGTCAGAGGATTTTCTTAGCTTTCGCCATAGATATAATATGGGGCAGAGTACGAGTCCTGGAGCCGAAATAAGTGATCTGATCATCTCCCGGAAGATAAAGAGTAATCTGCCGGTCATGACATTGGATATCTGTGTGAAAACGTGTTAGCCAATCCATACCGAGTATGAGGTCAAAATCCCCTGTAACACCCCACTTTGATTCTAAAGAAATTCTGGACTTTCCAAAAACCAGTATAAAATTTTTCGAACTTACTTTTGAAAACATGGGCGTTATACAACATTTATCATCAACCAAGTCGTATATAGTTCTTCACATGGTGTTCATTAACCTTTCAAAATTCATTTCCACATGATTATCAATAAATAACTCTCATACGAGTATCAAACAAAGGGTCCAAAAATCCCGACACGGACAAGTTCAAAAACAGTTCAACATGTCTCAAAGACCACACTTTATTCATAAAGGAAGAAAAATCATAAACATAATAATCATGACTAACCCACTCGTCTTTTCCCAGTCATCCGACACCTGCTTAACCTGCATCCGTGAAGAGCAGGTGGGAGTGAGCACAAGATGAAAACAGTGCTCACTATTATGCACATAAATAACATATGACAAATGGTATGGTCGCAACATGAATATAAGATAATCACATATTGTCTCATCTCCTATCAAAATCACAACAACCACATTACTCCTGTGCACATCTATCGCTAGCCGCAGAACGAGGATTCATTACCCGAAGGTGGGAGTACATGCCACGCTACGGACACGGCCTTCCATATGGGCTTACGTACCTCGCAAGGGCACGACCATATCAGGACTTAAAGTGACTTGCCCCACAAGGGCAACCATATTACATCGACGGGGACAATCGTACCGACGGCCGTAACAGCTCACATCGATAGGCTACATATTTCACATTCATACATAGATCATACCCATAAGTAAAAACATTCATCATTCATGGCATAGACAAGTTTAGATTAGAACCCACCTGGAATCGGTTGATAAAACAAATTAACCAGAAGTCGTAGGTGGTTGAGACACTGCTCGTCAGACACCTACATAAGTCAAGACAGTCCCATAAGTAACTATCTCGACTCTTACACAGGTAACGAGAATTATACTTAGTCGAATTACATCGACTAAGAAACTCATGGAAGTTGTGGAGTTGGAACATTAGGATGACTCCTAGACTCGACCAACCAATTAAATAATCTTATAAAAGCAGGAAACGAAAGTTTGACATAAAAACGGGGTCAACAGGTCAAGCCATTACCAACAAGCCAAAAACGATTAAAAAAGACTAGCTCAAAACAAATTGAATGAGACCATAAGGGGTTAGTCTTGGACTTTACAATTCAAATTTTTACAAAATATAAATGGCTGAAAATCACACATTTTCACCAAAGGAAAACCCCTAAACATGATCCTAACCATTGTAATTAATTCAAGCAAAAACTGACCAGAAATCGAATTAAATTAATTAAAATAGCTACAGTTCGAATTTGACTTTGAAATTTTTACAGCATCAAGATAACATGACGAACAGCAACCCAACCAAAAAGTAGGCATTTTAGACAGGAACTCAATATTATATGAATTTATTAAGAAACAGTCCAAAAATAGTTTTCGAGTTTTGACAAGGCTACAGGCCATATAAAAATCTCATATTTTAACCACAAGTACTACAACAGCAACAATACAACATATCCAAAAATCAGAATTTTTGGAACAATACACGAATTATAGTGATTTTAGCAAAAACGGGCTGCAACACAATTTTCAAAAATGCATAACTTACACTATACACAACGAAACGACACAACCAAAGCCGTTGAGTCAAGCACATTCTTAAGTCCAAAATTCCATAGCACTTCCACGGGAAATAACACATTAACCTCAGTTCAACAATTTTTCAAAGTGACGGCAATCACTTTGATATCCAATAGCAATTATATATATCAAAATTCACACGAACATATTACTAAAGCATATAACCAACTCGAATATCACCCGTTCAGCAATAACAACACATTTACGAGCACTTAAACACTTATTGGAATGAAATAACTAAGTCGAGGGTTAGCCCGGTACTGTTCTCGAGACGGGGTTACGAAACGGGACCAAATTGGGGCCGAACGGAAGAGGACGGCGTGGCTCGACGCTTACACGCGTCTCGCTGGGAGAGGAGGTGCAGCGGCTCGGGACTGCATGCTGGGGAGTAAGGCTTCCGGAGGTGGTCTGGTCGCGGCGGCGCGTGGGGAGGAGCAGCAGCTCGCTGCGGTGGGAGGCTCACCGAAAAGGGACTGGAACGGCGACGAGACTCATGCCAGGAATAGCTGGAACTCAAAGGACGTGCACGGGGTGGTTGAGGCTGCTAGTTCAATACGTCGGGACTCACCGGCTTTGTTCGGCACTCCGACGGAATACAACAGGACTCAACGGCTACGCTCGACACTCCGATGGGACTCGACGGGACCCGAAGGCTAAGAACAGTGGTCCGGCGACAGGCAGTGGGCCTGCTGGAAGTCTCATCCTTGCTCGACGGTGTGATGGCAGAACTCGCCGAGAAGAAAGAGGAGTCGTCGGAATCTGCACAACCGAGAAAAGATTCTCGTCGGAGATGGTGGTCAGCGGCGGTCCTCGTGAGCCGGGAACACGCAACGATGCGGGAGCAGCGAACGGAGCTCGGTGCGAGATGGCTCTGCGGGACTCAACTGTGTGCAATGATGTATGGTGGTGCTGACCGGTTATGGTGGCGACTAGATGATGGCGATGGAGATGGTGATGATCGAAAGTTGATGAACGAGAAAGAGATAAATCTCTCCTCTGCGCACGTAAGAGAGGCGATGGTGAGGAGCAGAAGGTTACCTGGCTGCGGGAATGAGAAATTTATTCTCTACTGAGGGTTTGGGAGTTATATATATATATACATATACATATATATACAATTTAGGTTAGATAATAATGCTTGGTCCACAAGCTTAATTACACACGCACGGAACGGGAAAAAGCTGGGTCGGCTTAGTTGGCCGATTGGGCTCGCGGGTTCAACACTTAGAATAAATTCTCAGGTTTGGTTTAGTCGCTCGATAATTAAAATGATAATCGAATAAATAAATATATACATAATACACATATTAATATTATTTAATAAAGACACATAATATTTATACTTAATACATATTTAGCACATTAACTCATTTAGGCAATTAGACAATTATATATAAGTAAACACATAATATTAACAATAGTAATAATAATAATAACAATAATAATAATAATAATAATAATAATAATAATAATAATAATAATAATAATAATAATAATAATAATAATAATAATAATAATAATAAAATAATCTAATTTATTCATACCCGAGCGGGACGTTACAGTCTACCCACCTTACAAAAAATTCCGTCCTCGAAATTCCGAAA